CACTTGCACAATCACAAGTGCATATCTGCCAGCACCTCCTTCATCCCTCCGTTCCCTTTAATCTTTGCATCCCTTCTTGCGCCTTCTCATGAGATACCATTCGTGTTAGGTCAGGTCTACACTGAATAATTGGCCTAGATCTTTGGATTCACCTCTTGCTCATCCACACGGAATAGCCTCTGACCCAAGCTTGGTGCAGGCTGGATTTTGGCCCAGAACCACTGACTGGAACAGGATGGTGAAAGCAAAGCCAGTGGACAGCTGACAGCCCACCAGTAACTTCCCAAAGCCCCATAATGGCTTCTTCTGCAGCTGACAGCGAAGAAATCCCAGTGTCCACACAAAAATATGATAGAAAGCCAAGGGCAAGGAATGTGCCAGCCGTAGGCCAGCAATGCTGGCTGCCTTCTGCGCTAAACCCGTGCAGAAGCTATCCGAGGAGGTCAGACTGACCCGTCAGCTGGAAGCCCAACCACCCTGGCTGCACACCAGTCCAGCCCACCTGCTCCACGCCTCCAGCCCGCTGTCCGGGTGCCCGCTCCGGGACGGTACGCAGCCACCCACCAGATCCCTCCTCCGCCAGACGGATCGGTTACACTATCACACACACGCCAACAGCAGCGGTTTCCATTTCAAGACTTTTGATAATGAATGCTTCTGCCTACAGATAAGCAAACTTGTTAAACTACGCTACAAAACCCATCCTTTCAGGCATACAGATCAGATGTGCTGAAGGGAAAGGCAGCCAGACAGGGATATCTCTATTGCTTGATGAATGTAGGATGCCTCCACCAACCTTGAACTTAACCTTGCAAAAGCTGGCAATACCACCTTAACGACAGCAGCGTTGCAAGCTTACTGAACTACAGCAAAGCCTTAACAAACTTGCTGGCTTGCATCGCTTCAGCCTCCCGCTGTAGGGCTGAAGTCTGATCTCTGCTGTACTTTCCCAAACGGTGCCCGTTCGAAAGCTTTTGCATATGTATTCCAGGACATTCAGATCGATTAGAAATGGGGGGGGGAATAACCAACTAATCCCCAGCCCTTCCTGTAGAATGTAAAACCATCCAGAAATCAAATAGCCCTCGGGAGTACCTGTCACTTCTGGTTGACTGGGCTGAATTAACCAGGGACATGTTGCATTTATTTGCATATCTGTGAACAGAATAACCCCACTTTCAACAGTTAAATGTATATATCTCTCTCTACACATACAAATAAAAAGAGAAAAAACTAGAGGCAGGCTGCTCCCTTGTTCTGGGACACATTTTCATCTCTTGATGGTGCATAGTAAGTCAGGAGAAAGCAACTCGGCTAATTCATGCCCTGAAGCGCGTGTTCAGACAAATGACCCAGGCAGTCACACCAAGTAACCCCTCTCACATCCACCACCCAGGTCAGGCTCCCCTCACTGCCAGCCAGCCTCTGATCACGGTGGGGCTTTCACCGTCAGCTGGCAAAGCAAGGCACCTCTGGATACAGAAGTGTCTGGGTAGCCTTGGTCATTTAAAAGTTGTAGCATCCACTAATTTCTTTTGCCGGTCTTGCAGATGGGAATTCAGGAGCGGAGGTTATCACAACACGCATACCAAGCCTTGCACGTTGACAGCAGTGAGCAGGGCTGTGAGGAGGAGCTGGGTTTGGAGGCAGGCTCAGGGCAGTGCAAGCAGCGGAGGGGCCAGGGTGCTGCTCTGAAAAACCTTGGGTCCCCCCAGTGTTAACAGCTACCGCTGACAGCAC